GGTATTTTGTCACAGCAATGAAAAGCTAACACATCATTAATGGGTGAATCTGGTATTGAAGAGCACACAGTTAAAATTTTTTGCTGTACAAAGAATATACAGTGAGAATTCTCCTGTTCCTCCCTTCCAACCACCTAGTTCTCTCCTCTTTAATTTCTTGAACCTTTTTCTAATGGCTTTTTCAATGTCTCTACAAACAAAATCAGGAATATATGATTTTCTCTCCATGCTTTACATGGGTCCTCTCCTTTTAGTCTTGTTTCTTCATTTAACAATCTTCCCCATCCTTTCTCACGGCTGCATTATAGTCCGTTGTAGAGATATAGTATAACTTTTAATAGCTCTATTGAAATATAATTCACGTATCATAAAATTCTCCCTTTTAAAGTATACATTCAATGACTTTTAATGTAATTGGAGTTTTACAATTTTAGATGTTTCATTACCCCCAGAAGAAATCCTATACCCTTAGTAATCACCCCCCATTCTTCCCACCCTAGGCACCACTAATCTTTTTTCTATCTTTATAGATTTGCCTGGCTCTGATATTTCACATACATAGAATTATATATCACATGGTCTTTTGTGCCTGGCTTCCTTTAACTAAGCATGTTTTCAAGGTTCATCTTGGTTGTAGCATGTGTTAGAACTTCATTCTTTTTCACTGCAAAATAATATTCCATTGTATGTGTATCCCATATTTTATTTATCCATTCATTAGTCATTTGATGGACATTTGTACTGTTTGCATTTTTGGCTATTGTAAATAGTACTACTGTTAAAGTTTGTGTTCATGTTTCTGGGCTTATGTTTTCATTCCTCTTAGATAAACACCAAGGAATGGAATTGCTGAATCTGTGGCCTATTTTATAATATATTTAATCAGACCCATTGATAAAAATTTAATCAAATTACATCTTAAAAACTAACAACCCTCGCAACTGTAGTAGGGCTTGACTCCAAAATGAGGATTCAGGGGAAAAGGGGGCTGGGACCCAGACTGCACTATGCACCTGCCTGTCTTTTGTCTTTACCTCCCCACCCCTGTTCTGGGGAGCTTTTCCTTCAGACTCCTCTTCTCCTACTTTCTAGCCAAGTCTACTTGATTCCAACGTGGTCTGTGAATCTGGGGTCTGGGAAGAGGAGAGTCAGGCCTCACGCCTGGCCCCTGAGCCCACGGACCACATGGCGAACTTCCAGGTCGTCCTCCCCACCCCCACAACACACTGTCTGCTCCCTCCCACTGGGTGTCCTCATGCAGGAGAGGACATCCAGGAGAACATCAGTGACTCTTGGCCATGGAGTTTCCTGGTCCTCTGGCGATGGGCCTCTGCCACACCTGGCCATTGCCACACCTCGGCAGGTGCACAGCGGAGTGATGCAGGAGTCGTGCAGACATCGGGCTGGGGAGCCAGTTGCAGGAGAGGTTACTGCCACTACAGGCCACAAAGGCCCCCAGAGGACTGCAGATTCCCTAGGACTGGCATTTAAAAACAAAATTCTTTTGATGTAGACTTTATAACAAGTTGAAGCCAAGAAGTGATTTTTGCTCTGAGCCAATACAAGACAGTTGGACTGGGAACATTTGATGAATAAAGAGAGAGCAAATCCACCCAGGGGGCTGTCTGCTGAGCTTCTGCCTGGGGTTCCTGGGGTGTCGTGTTTCTCCTCTCGGGACCTGTGTGCAGCCCAGCGCAGAGGCACTGAGGTCGCTGCCAGAAGGAGCTCTCTGGTCATCTCCCCTTCCATGGCAGCTGCTTGAACTTGCCTCCGGAGAGTCAAGGACACAACCAGCTCAGCAAATGTGAGTATTCTGCTATAATGCAAGGGTGTGCGGCTCTAGAATTTACCTATTGTTTCACTCATTAAATTACAAGTGCAAAACACAGGATGTGTTCAGCCATGAAGATACGGTGTAGCTGACTGACCTCTAAAAGAGAAAGGTGAAGTTCACTGTGTCCCAATAATGAGTATGATAATTTATCCCATGTGGAAAAAGGGTCTGATTGAAAAACAATCAAATGTTCTCTAGCTCTTAGTTGGGAATATTTTATTCTGTGTTTAAATATATCATATTATTCCATAACAATTTCCAAAAAGTTCTATGAGTTTATATGCGTGTTCTAAGTTTAAATAAGTTCTTTCATCCTAATTAAAATGTACTCTAGGTAAATTGTTGGGTTCATTTGATATTAAAAAAAAAACAAGTATAGGATTTCTCTCCTTCCTTAGTTTAAGGTCTTGAACCATTCCAGACTGTTATAAAATACATAATTGTGGATCACTTCTTATGGGTGACTAATTTTATGTAATTAAATCTGCTCATTTATCCTGGGCTTTTCACATGTGTTTAGAGAGTTATCTTTAAATAATTTCTCCCTTCATTAGTATTAATATTAATTAATATTCTTTTTAATATTTAAGACCTAAAACTAATAATATTATTTATTCATTCAATCTGACAGTTAGCTGTCATAAAAAATAATAACCTCCTTGAGTCTTGCATTAGAAAAGTGAATGAGCGACAGACAAATATCAATTAGGAAGCATTTATGCAGCACCTCTGGTCTCCCCAGCAGGCTGACACTAACCTCTGGCATGTCTGAATCCACCTGTGGTCACGCAGAGAGAGAAGCGGGCTTTGAGTGGTAAGGCTCATGGGGAGAAGTCTCTGAGGATCAGTCTCTATTTCCCTGGTTTTCGTTGTTCCAATGTCTTCCCTGGCTCCCCCAGCAGAAAGCACAGTTTTTTAATTAAACAGCAATTAAGATCTTAATCTCCTGGTCTGACGAGGGCACTGAGTGTCTTTGCCCAGGGGCGCCTGCTTCACCAAGGACACCAGAAAAGTGCCAATTTGTGCTCTTTCCTTTTAAAATTAGTTTATTTTTGTACACTTTGTACCATGTACACTTATTTTCAAAAAGAAACTCCCCAGCGCAACGCAGGTGCCAGTGCCTGGGTGAAGTTCTGCCAGGGATATTCTGCTCTGCTATGGTTTGGATAAGTATCCCCCACAGGCCGTGTGTTCAAAGCTTGGTCGCCAGCCCGTGATGCGGTTGGAAGGTGGTAGAACCTTTAGGAGGTGGAGCCTAGTGGAAGGACATCAGGTTGGAGGCATGACCTTGAAGGGATATGGGGACCCCAGCCGGCCCCCTTGCCTTCCTGGCCACCAGGAAGTGGGCAGCTGCCTCCACCACATGCTCCCACTGGGATGCAGTGCCCTGCCACAGGCCCAAAAGCAGGGGGGCCAAGCAACCATGATCAAAACCTCGGAAACTGAGATCCAAATTACACCATTCATCTTTATAAGTTGATTGATCTCAGGTATTTGTTACAGAAAAGGAAAACTATGCATATGTAAACAACAGGCAAATAAAATATACCTCCCCATTTTTACACATTGATTGCATACTATATAATTGTTTATTTTTTTGCTTATTAATATTTAAGACCTAAAATTTTCCTTTTAATGAGTGAATAATGTTCCACTGCTTGGAAGTTCTAAAATGTATTTAACCACCTTCCAGTTGATATGATTCAAAAAAAAAAAAAACCAGCCTGTACGTGTTCAGCGTTTCTTTCCAAATATTTTCAGTGTGTGGCTGGTTGAATCCACAGATGCAGGATCCATGGATACAGAGGACTGATGCTTGTGCATAACGATGTGTTCTGAGCATCTTTAGTACAAACTGCTAGGGGTGGAGCGACTAGGTCAAAGGTAAGTGCGTTTGTAGTATCAGCAGATCCTGTACCTGTGTCTCCCACGTCACTCTGCATTTACCCTGGACCTGTGATGGAAAGGCCTCATTACCTGCACATGTCTCCACAGAGTGAAGTTTGCAAATTCAGTTTACAGACCTGATTGGTAACAAATGCTATCTCCGTTTTAATTTCCATTTTCTTTATAACACTGATACCGAAGGTTTGGTTTTGTTTTTCACATTAAAGTTCCCCCCCATGGACTATTTGTCCTTAAACTTTGCACAGTTGTTCCTTACTGACCTTTAGATTTTTCTTACAGAACTGAAGGCCATTAAGAAGAAGGCCATTAATTGCACTATTTCTCCAGTTTGTCATTTGTCTGCTGACTTTATAGTATGCAATAACAAACTTTTAATGTAGTCGAATTAATTTTTTCTTCTGGATTTTTGTGCTCTGCTTAGAAAGGATCTCCTTTTTGAAGATGAAAGGAAAGGAAATATCAGCCATGTTTTTTTCTAATACTTGGAATTGTTTCACATTTTATGTTAAAATCTTTTCATTATATGGACTGTTTGGGGACCTACAGTGAGAGACGTGGCCCCAAAGCTCTCTTGTTGCAGTGGCACTTGGTGGATAATTCTTTTTTTTTTTACTATTGATTGGAAATATTCTTTTGTTACTCACCAATCCTCAACCATAGATGGTGTGTTCGCTCCAGTCCATTGGTCATCATCACACTGATATGGCTATCATAGTTTTTCAGGGAGACTTTGAAGGGAGTGTTGTGACGATTCTTATTCAGGAGGCAGAGACCAGAATGATCTCGGTACTAAGCCAGGGAGGCAAATCATTCCTGAGACCCTATCTCAAAAGTGCCCAACACAAAAATGGGCTGGTGGAGTGCCTCAAGTGGTAGAGTGCCTGCCTAGTAAGTGTGAGACACTGGGTACGAACTCCAGTGCTGCCAAATAAAAAAAAAAAGAAAAGAAAAGAATAGTTTGTCTATTTCACAATAAAAACTTACTAGTAAGTTTAGCGCAACTGTTGGTTATATAGATTGTTTTGGTGACATATTGATGTTGCATCTCCTAATCAAAAACTAGGTGTTTCAAATTTTTGGTTTGTAAAAATATATTGAATGTGTTTGGGGGCCCTGCTCATTCTATAAATAAAGCCTCTTTGTTCATTCCAGGTTTTCACTTTTTCATGTTTTTTCATTTGGAGCCCACATTCTTTGGCATAGCCAAGCAGTCCTTAGCCCATGATACTTCATTTCACCTGGATTTCTCTGTTTTCAGTGATCACGTGGACACCCCAGGGAGCCTCCAACCAGATCCAGGTCAGCTGTGTTTTGAGTGGCCCCATGGATGGGCTGAATGGCACCAACTCCACCAGGGCCCTACGACTGCCGGACGGGACAAGTGATGCCTGGTACATCCTCACCATCATTGGCATCTATGGAGTGATTTTCCTTTTCCGGTTGGCCAGCAATATCCTCGGGAAGAATGATAAGGCCCTGGAAGATGTTTATTTGTCAACTTTGACCTCTGAACTCAAAAGGAAAGGGCTCCAGAGCAAGGTGGACAAATGGTCTTCACTGACCATTAGCAACCCTGCTGTCCTGCAGTCCAGCCAGGCCAGCCTAGAGCCAGAGAGTGAAAACACGACTCAGGGGATCCCTTAAAGTCTAGGCCAGAAAATGTCCACAGGAAGCCCCAACATTTTTTGCAGGAGGAGCAGCTTTGAGCTTACCTGGAACCTTGAGAGATCAGTTGAGCCCCTGCATGGGGCTGGGGGAGCATAGGTGAGCAGTGGGTTCTTCTGGCTGATAGGGTGTGACCGAAAGCCAGCAGCCTACATCCTTCTCAGGCTTTCTGGTGCTTTGAGAAGAGATAGGTGGGCAGCAAAAGACATACTGGCCCTCATAGCAAAGCCTGTCTGTGCTCAGGGAAGGGTATGGGACATCCAGTGCTTGCAGAGAAATGCAGGAGGTGGCTTCTTGTCATGGAAAGGAGGCTGAATTTGGAGTCAAACATTGTGGGTTAAAATTCAACTTCTAAGGGGGGTCACATAAATTTTGAGTGGCTAGTTTCTCACCTGGAGCATGTGGGAATTGAGCTAGATGGTCCCAAAGGGCTGTTTCATTTTAAAGACTCTGACTCCATTGAATTTTGAGTCTAAGTTATTCAGATCAGAAGTTAGGAATTCTTTATTTTCACTGAAAGTGTGGGATGCATTGAAAACAGAATTCATTTTGAACTCAGAACCATGCTCTAGTCTGGGCTTGATTATCTGTGCACAAAACACTTCACTTCTCTGAAACTCAGTCTACAGATAACATGAGGTCAATTATGTCAGACCTGCCAGCCTTACCAAATGGATAAGACCTAAGGAGATGCGTTTTGAAAAGCAAAATAAATATATAAATACTGCATAAGCCTTGGTGTGGTGGTGATGGTAACTGGTGGTGTTCATAGTGATGGTTGATACTGACTGCGGTAGTGGATAATGTTGATGGTGGTCATGTTTGTTGTTGATGGTGGTTGGTGGTCATGGTTGGTGTTGATGGTGGTTGTGAATGATGTTGGTGTGGTGATGGATGATGGCGGTGGTGGTGGATTTGATGGCAGTGGTTGTGGATGTTGGTGGCAGTGGTGACTGTTTGACAGTGGTGGTGGGTGATGTTAATGGCGGTGGTTGATGTTGATGGTCGGGGGGAAGTGATGCTGTTGTGGAACAGGAAATGACTAGTCCCTTGACAATCAGTCTTTAAGCCATGGCCGTGCTGCTTGGCTTCACAGGACAGCATATCATTTCATGACCCATGCTGTGGATTGGTCTGTGAAATCCAGGCTTACAAAGAGACAGAACAGACACCATTGCATTTCATTACTTAAACAACATGGGATTCACTCAATTATTTTGCAAACATCTCTCACTAATACACACATCCATGAAATAAGATATTACTCAGATGACAATTTAAGGAAATGTGATTAGCTGAATTTCTGTAAGTGACTTTCAGCAGGCAAGGAGAAAAAATTATATTTTGTCCCAATTCCTGTGAAGTTCATCCAGTTAGGCTTTTGGAGCTATCTCCTGAATTAGAGATATATTTTTCCTGTTTTGTAGACTCTGGTCTGCAATCAGCCCTATGGTCTTATAAATGTCACAAATAAATTCCAGGCTTTTGTCTTGGGGGGACGAAATATACTTCTAAGTATTTTTTCTCTCTTCATGTTTTCTTCTTCATCATCAGCAGGATCCCATAGGCTGGAAACACTGGTGTTAGTTTGTCAATACAGTGAAGGCTGGGCTGAATGCATATGTATGATATGCCTACAGGACAAAACAGAAGACACAAGGGTGGACATAATGCCATCCACAGTGAGCAGAATGCAGAATGCATTAAAATGGGTGTACATAGTTGGGGTGTAAGTGAATTTGAGGACAGGAAGAGTTCATTGGTACAATCTTCACCTGCTGGTTGCTCTGTAGTGTGTTTCCCCTTCCTTAACTCTGTTGCTTACCCTTTGCATTTGGGGACCCATACGGCTCTAGAGAAGCTAAAACTGCCCCCTATTCAAATATTGGTTAATTCAATCTGCACATTCTATCTCTTGGCTTCACTGATGGGATCCAGAATGGACCCACGGATCTACGCAAGCTATCTCAATCAGAATGAGGTGACCAGAAGGAATTTAGTGGGAGGAGGCAAAACCTCTCATCTTGCTCTGCATGGGGTTAAATGCAGATCTGAGCCTGGCATTGCTGGATCCAGTTTGATGTGAGGAATGCCAGCCTGAGGACCAAATCAACACATAGAGGACAAAATTATAGACACTAGAGACCTATTCAACTGTGCTCAAAGCTTTAATCTACCTCTGGAATTTTTCAGTTTATGAACTGATGCATTCTCTTTATTAAGTCCATTGGAGGCACGTTTTTTTGTTCCTCACAACCCAAATACATGATACCTTTGGATGATAGTTTCCTGCAGGAAGTGGCACTTGGAGGGGAATTTGAAAGAGAAGGTGTGTGATTTGGTATGTGGGAGTCTGGAATCATTCCTAAAAGAAATGATTTAAAAAAAAAAAAAAGAAATGGTATAACCAAGATTTTTGTATTCAAAGGCCTTTTGTATTTGGGAGGAAAAGTAGATATTCAGGCTGCTTCTTGTGTCAGCTCAATGATCATTTGTAACAGTTCTCATTGCTTGACCTCTCAGAGAACACTCACTGAGATTCTGTCCCACTTAACCCTTACTCCCTGGGTCTGTCAATGTATTGACAAGGACGGCCTGTCATGGTAGACCTGTGACCAGAGACTGGCTGCAATTATTTCCCAAGGAGCAAGGGCCACTATCTTCCTGTTGACACTCAACACAGTTCTATGAGATCTAAGGCCATTTTCCCAAGCCACCTCACAAATTTACCCACTTTCTGGTGAGCTGGTCTTTGGGTTGTTAGAGCTCTTTGTAAACAGTTGGATGGATCGAAGAGAAAACTTCTTCAACAGAACTTTTCCAAGGACGGGAACTGCATTTGTTTAAGAAGTGTTGGAGACAGGAAGTAAGGCCAGAAGGGCCCATGAATGTAAGTGGAACTGTCTGCAGGAGACTAAAGAATTTGATACTCTAAAAGGGAAAGGAGGGAAGAAGCAAGAGGGAGGAGTGGGCAAGGGCTCAGCAGGATTACAGAATGCATTAAGAAATGACTTTCCTATGACTCTCCCACCACTATGACCACCAGCCCTGATCCTCTAAGCTTGGAGTGAGTGGGTTGGAAACCACCAGAAGGGACCCAGTGACACATCCAGAGAGACGTCTAGAGGTAGCAGCACAGGCAGATGTGCGATAGAGTGCTTTCATTTAGGGCAACCCAGTTTAGTTTAATTGAAGGCAAACCATCAGGAAGTAACAAAATCACAGGGAGGCTGTAAAACTAAAGCCAGGACCAGATTTAATCAATTTGTAGGATGAGTGCAGAGAGGAGGGAGAGCTGGCAATGGGTGCTTACAGGAGACATCTGAAAACTAGATCCCTCTAATCCCACAGCATGGTAAATATTGGTCCGAGATCTGTTTTTCCCTGAATTATGGGAATATTATTTTAAGATTAAGGACAACATTGTATTGATAGTGGTGTTACCCACTCTTTGCAAAATACACAATAAATATTTGCAAATATGCTTTAAAATAGCAATACTCACTTAAAAATAATAAAAGCTAAGATAAAAGGACTTGGGATGTGCTAGGCACTAAGTCCTTTCCACGTATTACCTCATTTGCCCGTTGCCTGTCTTTCATTCCCCCTCTCCCAAGTCCTGTGCTTTTCTCTGGTATAACACAAACAAAGCTGGAGGCAGACACCACATGTCATTTGAACAGAGGATGTTGCATAGAAAGAATTACTCACTACAGAGATGCTAAGAGAACACTAAAGGGTAACGAAGGCTGAGTGCTCAGGAAAGGACTCACTTCCCAAGTGCCCTCCTCAAGGCTAGGCTTCAGACTTCATTAGAGAAGACATGCTTGCAGCCACTGGGTGAAGAAGTTTACAGGGTTCCTGGATTACAAGTGTGAGCCACCAGTGCCTGGCTTATAGTATTTTGTTATAACAGACCAAACTGGCTAAGATAGTGTTGAAGAAAAAACAGCTTAGGACACTTGTTAAAAGTGACAAGAGTGATTTCTTTTCAGTCTCCTGCAGTAGAGGACAGAGACATGAGTGTAGACTGAGTTCAAATCCAACTACAACAAAGATGACTGAGGATTTTAAGGGGAGGACAGAAGGAACACAAAGGTTCTTAGAGATGGAGGATTACAGGGGTGAGCAGAGAAACATGGAGTGTTTAGCAGGCAGCAGGCAGCATTATGTCTTCTTGAGCCCAGACTCATCATGAGGCTGGGGTCACCCTTGGGACACAGCTGAGTGCAGGAGGAAACCAGGTTAAAGTTTGGTCTCTTAGGATCTCAGTTCTCCAATAGGCTCACTGTCAGAGCAGGACTTGGCCTGGGCAGTCAGTGTCCAGGCCAGGCAGTCATATGGGGAAGTCAAGGCAGGGCAGTGTGAGGCCTGGGGTGCCTGGGATCCACATCACAAAGGTACAATGCTCCAGGCTCCACAGTAGTGGACAGTGGTGTTGACTGTTTCTTCCCACCAACTGTGGTGCTGGAGTGCTTCCTGAGCCTGGTGACTGTGACCAGCTCTGGCCCAGGACACCCCACAGACTTCCCCCTCCAGGGGTTGCAACCACATCTGCTCCAGTGAGATCTACCACTTAGCCTTGGCGAGGGGACCCCTCCCAGCTTTGTCCTTCCCTGGGCATTCTCTTCAGTGCTTGGGTACTCACAGAGCTCTCTTTGCATCTTTACAGTGTCTTCCTTACCATAGTTTGATCATTCTCTCCACTGAAATTGGGCTGCTTACCCTGTGGTTACTATTTCCTGATTTCACCCAGACTGATCCAAGCCACGGTGGACAGCATAGGCAAAACAAAGTTCAACAGGCTTCTAGCCCAAGAGGTTCCTGGGGTGCTATCCCTTTCGGCATTAATCATGCCAACATGTCTACGGACACTTTTTCCACAGAGCACCACAAAGGACCAGTACTCACCTGGCACACACTCAACCACAACAAACATTAGCTATAGACACCAAGAGACAGAGCTGGGATATTTGTGA